CTGGTTTTCCTTAGATAGAAAACTTTGAATCAATCTGACTGGATGATCTGGTTGATCTGTTGTGAATTAGGGCTAAATAAATAATCTAAAATTTTATTAAATTGAATTATTGGTCTGCTGGACGTAAGCAGCAACATTTATTTGGTCGACAGTGAGCGTTTGAAGAGAATGTGATGAGTGAAACGCAGTTTCAAAATAATTCCATTTGTAAAACTTAAACTAAAGAAAGATTTATTTAAAAAAGAGAGATATTTAAAATGTTTGTTTAAAAGAATTAAATAAAGTTGGAAAACAAATAAAATCTGCAAAATATTTTTGAAAAAACTAAACTCTTAAAAAAATGATCAGAGATTGCAGCAAAGTTACACAGAATTTTTTTCTTCATTTTTTAATTAAAACGTTTCTTAAAGTTTAATTTTGGATTTGTTGTATTTTTTTTCCATTTCAATGTACAAAGCTTCTTATTTGATAGGAACAATAATGAAGCAACATTCACTCACTAAAGGCATGGCTGCTGATTGCACTAATGGACCAATGGATTTGTATATGAAAAAAAACTCTGATCGTGTTTTTTTCATAAAGATGTTATTTTGTTATCAGCTGATTCTAATCTACCACAGCACTGCAAAAACAATCTAGGAATAAGTTTAAAAATATTAAATTATGTGTTTTTACCCTTGATAAATATGATGATCTGCCAATGGAATGAGCACATATACACTTAAAATAAGATAATGCTATTTTTTTCTTATTTTAAATGTAAATTGTCTTGTTCTATTGGCAAAGTGTCTCACTTACCTCCTCAACTAAAAAAAGTATTTATTTTATGAAAAAATGACTTATTAAGCTTTAGGTTTTTTACAGTGTGGGTTAGAGCCTCTGATTGGAGGAACTCACCAGTGATGCGAAGGTGAACTTTTGGTCTTTCTCCTGGAGAAAAACTAAGATGTCTGACATCAGCAGGACCTGCACATCTGGAGAGAAAAACAGCCATTGCTGTAAGCGGCTCAGTCTGCACAGATGTTCCATCAGGACAGGTAAACATGTCATCCTTTAATACCTTTCATCCGGGAGCCCTGAACCTTCCAGGTGAGCGTCCCCTCATGGAGTAGCTTCCTCCTCAGCAGCTCCCCTCCCCTGAAGGCTCCGCCTCCCTTCACCTCAGCCTGGGCTCGCGGGTCCAAACGAGCCTGGATCTCCTGCAGCCTCCGGTTCCGGTCCAGTTCTAGGACCTCCTGGTCCACTGAGCCGATCAGTTCCTTCAGGAGGGTCAAGGCTTTCTCCAGGTCCTGCAGCTCCTCAGGGCAACCTGCAAATTACAGCGGAGTAACAGTGAGCTGCCAGCCGTTTCTAACAGAGAGCGGAGAGGGAGGGGGTCTGGTACCTTTAGTGTTGTCCAGGATTCTCTGGATCAGAACCGGGTATTTTGTGAGCCGCTGGGTCACCAGCAGGATGCACTCCTGGACGCCATGACGACGCAGCAGAGGACCGCGACAGACCCGCTGTCAGAGAGAAAGAAAGAAAAAGGCTTTCAGCTTCTTATCGCCCAGAACCCAGTGACCGAAACCAGTTTAAAGTGTTTTAAATTAGATTAAAGTCAGTGTAAACTGGAACCAAACCAGTTAAGGTTCTCACCCGTATGAACTGCTGCAGCCTCCGGTCTCGATTTAAAACTTCTTTGTAGAGTTTTACGGCTTTAGGATGGCGGCTGCAGAACTCGGAGTAAAGTTTCTTCATGTCTTCTGCGCACTGACCTGAAAACTGCACAAAAAACATCAGGTCAGGAAAAAAGAAAGGATCCATCCCCACTGGGAGAGGGTCTAAAGTCTCACCTATAGTCTCCACTCTTTTACAAAAAAAATAAAAGGTTTCAGGTGGAAAACCTGTTTGCTTTAAACAACTGTTGCTCTTTCTCTGACTTTATTATAAATATTTATCTAAGCTTAAAGTTCTTTACCCTCCTGATGCCAAAAGACAGAAACTTGTGGACTGGACACAAAGAAGTATTTCAGTGAATTGGACAATAGAAACGGATCGGCTTGCAGACTCTTCTGTTTGTCTTTGTTCTTCCGTGTCCCTGAGGACGTTTCTGTGATCTGTCTGGCAGAGTAACTCAGGTCTGTTTTCTTTGTGCCAAGAAGAAGAAGAGGAGCATCTCAGCTTTCTCTATAAAACCCTGTTTGTTTATGTGAGAAACTTTGCTTGAAATTGTAAGGGGATTTATTTAAATTAAAGGAAGGAAGGAAGGAAGGAAGGAAGGAAG